TTACCTAAAACCCAAAGCACCTTCCCCATGTGCTTCAGAAAAATGCATTATGTCAACTCTGTAGGATGGACTGTCACCACCTAGATTTCCCAGGGCTAAAGCCTGAAGTGGCAATACCCCAGCAGAAGATACACGTGGTAATTATGAGACAGAACTGACTACAGATGCTAATTGCACAGCAATATGTGGGAGCTGATTACAGAATGACTCCTGAGTAAACATTATACATGGTGAGTATGCTAATCACACTTACCATGGGGGGGTTCTGGCTACAGAGTGCCCCCCTTGACTGTCTTGTGGATCCTTCCTCAAATGGCAGAACAAGCAATGGGTTCTCTTTGAAGTGGCGATATTATGGATATTGCTTACTTAGAGATATTGGCTTTAGGCTACGAGTACTTTGTGATCCCCTTCAAGGTATAGTAATAAGTCACTGGACAAATAAGTTTTCAAGCCAAAGGTCAATCGGAATGTTAATGGTGGGCGGTTTTAAACCACACCATGTACCGTATTTTTGGTACTCTCCCTTTTTCATTGACTTCTGGTTGTGTACCAGTACCAAGAGTTCCAGTACCAAAAGGGTCAAACCAACTGGGGTACTTCTGAGGCACTTTGGTACTTTGGTGTGGGACTTGAAATGCTTTTTGTCGATTGGTTATGCAAATAGCCTACCTCTGAAACACAAAACCGCAATCTTAAAAAAGTAACGAGTTCAGAAAACAACAATAAACAACGTAAAAAGAAATTCTTGCAATTTGGTTGAAAGAACAGATACAACAAAAGATCAGGATGGCATGACAAGAAATTAAAGTATTTTGTTTAATATACTAGGACAGCACAGATATAGCGTAATGTCCTAGCGATGTGATTTTGTTGTAAAAAAAAAACAAAAAAAAAAAAACACTGGCATATTGATAAAAGGAAACCATAAATTTCTCACAAACCCGACTAGAAAATATTTAAACAAGCAGAATGAAAATGATTATGATTGCTTAAGAGATCGCAAGCAGCGCTCCGGAAAGAGTGGTGGAGATAAACATATATTAGATGATCTATAAAAGGAATAATAAATAAAATTTCAAAACTAGGGTCACAGAGCCCTATGTGGTCAGCTGTCTTACAGCATATTGCTCATTTTATTACATCAACAAATAGTCGGCCCTCATTTATCGCGGTTAATCAGTTCCAGACTCTACCGCCATAAGTGAATTTCTGCGAAGTACGATTCTTTATTTATAAATCGAATATTTTCGTAGTTAGAGCATAGAAAACCTGTTTGCGACCTTCTGAATACGGTTTTTAACATTATTAGAGCCCTCGAGACATGAAATTACACCCTTAAGTCATCATTATTGTTATGACTGCTGGACATGGAAGCTGGAACAGGGAGACGAGGAATCAGGATCGAAGGGTGTATTTGGAATCACTCCAAATGCAGGACACAGGAACATGTAACAACAAAACGTCAATGACAGACCTGGGGTTACAGACTCTGATGTGGCCTTAAATACACCGGATGAATCAAACTGACAGAAAACAGGTGGTCATAATCGGGGTTGCACACGTGGTTAATAAGGGGGCGTGGCAGACAAGAGGATCGTACAGGCAGGTGATGACAATTACACTTGTTTTACCCAATATATTAGACAAAATAAGAGAAAATACATATTAGACGTTGCAAATATATTATTATTGTACATTTAACCTTCCAAGAGCAAAGATCATTTTCACTGTTCTCGATCAACGTTTTAATGAATATACAAAAAAAAAAACGCGATAGAGTGAAGCCGCGCAAGTCGAAGGACTCTTTTTCCTTCCCTGCCAGTTAGGAATCAAATGCCACTTGTGTAGATCTTAAGATTCAGACTTTATTGTATCCACGTAGGTTACAACCAAGGCTGGACCCTCTACAGAAATATGATTAATTCTTATTTACACTGATTCTTTTCATTCTTATACATTTCTTATCTCTTAACAGTTACTTGTCACAAGAGTCGCGTCCTCAGCATCGATCATTCGCCAACATTATGTTCTTCTTCAGAGATCTGAGTATTCCCTGCCCCTAGCTGATAGGCTGCCAATTATTTACAGTGGTGGAATGTAACAAAGTATTTGTACTTCGTTACTGTACTTAAGTACATTTTTACATATCTGTACTTTAAGTAAAAATATGCATACTTTTTATTTTACTCCATTACATTTTGTGGCAATTATCTGTACTTTTTACTCCACTACATTTCTACATTTTACGAAGACAATTTCCTCAAAATCTTGCATGAAAAAATAGTTAGCCTATTGCGTTCTGGCATTGTTTGCCATTTCCTACCAATCAGGTGGCTTTATTAGCTCCAATGATGGCAGAGCGTGCGTCAATTAGCAACACGAGCTGGTAGACTGGCTTGATTTCAAGAAGAAGAGACATTCAACATGGCGCCACACCACCACTAGTGTTTGGTTACTGTTGTGTTTCCCTTTTACTGCTCTTAACAGATGTGTTGAATAGTTTTGCAAGTACATGAATGATTTAAAGATAAACCAATCAGGACATGATATATCTTAATGGTATATTAGTGGGTAATGACAAGTTATCTACTTGGTATCCACATAATTCTAAGTAAAGGTACACACAGTATTGCAGAGGGCACGCACAATAAGCACAACAAACTTTCCAATACACATAAACTGTATAGTTGCTTGTAATTATTACGAGCAATGACATCGGTAGAGGCGTAAGTCAGTATATATACTATTCTTTTACAAAATGGCACACCCCAGATGTTGAGACAAACCATTGTGTGAGTACTTTTACTTTCAAGTAAATTTAAAAGTAAGTACTTAGTACTTTCACTTAAGTAAGATTGTTGATGTAGCACTTCTACTTTTACTTGAGTACATATTTTGCAGGATATTTGTACTTTTACTTAAGTACTAAGCATCAGTACTTCCTCCACCACTTACTGTATTATTTATTTTATTTAGTCACTCTGTGAAACATAATTGTGGCGAAACAGTCTCTACAATATTTTTTTTATAAAAATATGGCAAAAAGCCCAGAACCTGGATGATTAGTTTAAGGACGATATGGTGGTAAGCAATGAACTCAGAACCCAAGTATTTCTGCAGTAATAAGCCTTAGCAGTTTCTGTTGGCTACACAATACTTGGCTAATTATATTTTCTTGCCTTCAACCTAGTGATAAGCTTCAGAGCTAATTGGGCTTCAAATACATACTTATATAATTACATCGTGCAACAGTAAGTGATATGCATTCTCTAGCAATTACATTATCTTGTGTGTTTTACATCTTTGGTGTATTGCCCTAAGGATTACATTCCCTATGTGTTATGTGATTTCATATTCCACATTCCGAGGAGGGTATTTCATAAACAACCACAGCTGTTCAACTTTTATAATAAGCAGAGAACATCCTGTAAAATCAGTACAGTAAAACCTCGGATTGAGAGCATAATTCGTTCCAGAAACGTGCTTGTAATCCAAAGCACTCGTATATCTAACCGAATTTTCCCATTAGAAATAATGGAAATTCAGATGATTCGTTCCACAACCCAGAAATATTCATATAAAATGGTTAATACAAAATATAAATTAAAAATACATAAAACAAATTAACCTGCACTTTACCTTTGAAAAGAATCGTGGATGGTGTGAGAGAGAGAAGAGGAGGGTTATTTTGTAGGACGACTTTCACTATAACTAACGGAATCACTGCTATCTGTTAGCTCACTGGAATCTTTTTCTTTTTGCGCGTCTTTAACAAGGAACCTATCCAATGACAGCCGCTTTTCGATTTCGTGGAAATGTGGACATTGCATTGTTGTTAAACAGATTCATTGCTCGCATTGCTACGGCCTTATTCGGGTGGTTTTTTTCTACTAAATTTTGACTATACGAGCGAGGCACGCCGACTGACACTGCATGGGAAATGATTATCCACAATCCCGCAGTGAGAGAGAGAGAAGAACCATCGGCTCAGTTTTGATCACGTGAAATAAAGCGTATACTTAATACTCGTATTGCAAGACCTTACTCGTTTATCAAGTTAAGATTTATTAAATTTTTTTGCTCGTCTTGCAAAACACTCGCAAACCAAGTTACTCGCAATCCAATGTTTGACTGTATTTGAGTCTTCTTTGTGACAGTGGGTGAAATAAACCATGGCTGCTGTTAGATTACATACCTAATTTAAGATGAATGAAAGTGATTCAGTTGGTTAAATTAGACATGAGGAAATTTAGTGAGATTAACTCGGCTATGTTCTGTTCTCAGAATACAAAGTGGATTCATCAAATTAAAAAGAATGCTTCATTTTCAAAACACTCATTCTAGTTGTATGGAACCACTGTCCATGATTCAGTTGAGTTCATTCTAAGAATTATGCATAAAAAGTAAAACATTTACATTGTATTAACATTAATTAACACCAACAAATAAGTTGAATCCTTTTTTCGGGCCAGAGACTTCTAAAAATATATTTACTTTCTAAGGCTTCTGGGTGTGTTTGTTAATGTTCAAACACTTAGTTTTTAAAACGGTTTGGTGAGATTTCTGTTTGATCCTGCATGCAGGGTTGTCGATTCCAGAGGGTTAATCGATGAAGCGACTGTTTCTTGCATTTAATCAACGTAATGGCCGTTTTCTTGATTTTAATAAACAAACTGTCTATTCATATTTTTTGGAGAATTCCCAAACTTCCTTTACCATATTCCATGCTCCCCCCACCACAGCTTCAGCTGCATTTCCTGCAGCCTCTACTACATTGTCTGCTCTGGCTGCAGCTTTAGCTCCTACAGCCCCCCCTATTATGGCTCCTGCTGCAGTCAAAACCCTCGTAGCTACATACACTCCTGTTCCTATTGCTACTCCTGCCCCACCTGCTGTCCCTGCTGTTCCACCTGCTCCTGCCCCACCTGCTGTCCCTGCTGTTACACCTGCTCCTGCCCCACCTGCTGTCCCTGCTGTTACACCTGCTCCTGCCCCACCTGCTGTCCCTGCTGTTACACCTGCTCCTGCCCCACCTGCTGTCCCTGCTATTACACCTGCTCCTGCCCTGAAAACTGTTCTCAACATGAGTGAGCCTACCAATAATACTGCTATTGTTGCTCCAACAGGCAAACCCAGTAGAGCCCCCAGTAGCGCCCCAGTGGCCATTCCTGTTAATGATGTCCAAATATTGGCCTTCACTCCCTCTCTTGCTTGTTTCTTGATCTCGTACTCCTCTGCTTTCTCTCCTCTCTCATTCAGCTCTTCTTTTATCCTATTCTCCTCAATTTTTGTAGCTTTTGCTGTTGCCTGAAGTGTTTCATTAGTGTAATGACGGTCTCCATTTTCTCTCACAATGGTGTCTATGGTTGTCAGAAGCTGATTAATCTGAAAGCTGTTGCTTCTGTACTCTGACCCACCCAGGTTTCCACCAGAGCTGGAGGGTCTTCCTGACCCTTGGCTTGGGTCTTTATCAGGTGTTGATGATCTTTGTTTTAATCTGAATCTGAACCGTAGGTTATTAATTTTTTCCGGTGCCTGTACAGCCTGTAATTCCCCAGCTGCTCTCTTCTGTTTTATCATTTCTTTTGGAAGATCTTCACATTGACCATCTTGACCATTGACTTTTTTATTCCAGTGCGTAGAGTCAATGACATGAACTCGACCTCCACACTTATCAACAAGTGCCTTCAGATCCTTGTTCTTCTCTGCAAATTCTTCGATGGTCATTTTTTTTCCAAGATCTTCACCATGTGTGAAGAGGACAACTGTGTGTTTCAGGGCTTCCTCCCCAAAATTCTGCAGTATCATCTTCACAGAGTCTTTCTCCTCTTTGGTGTATCTTCCCACTCTCATTACTAAGATGAAGACGTGTGGACCAGGAGCACACTCAGTGAGGCAGGATATTATGGAATGCTTCAGATCTTTTTCAGGCTTCTCAGTGTCAAATATCCCTGGTGTGTCGGTTACTGTAATCTTCCTGCCATTTAAGTTTCCTTCCTCTGTTTGACAATCTGTTGAAACACTGTTAGGTGAAGACTCAGCTTTAAACTTCTCTTCCCCCAGGATGACATTTCCTGCGCTGCTCTTCCCTGATCCTGTTTTTCCCAGCAGCACAATTCTTATTTCAGCAGGTGCTTTGGAAGAGAAAAATAACTTCAGTTACCATTAATGTTATAGAGAGTTTGTTTGAAGACTCATGCCAATGTGCTAAGGCCAAGACAGTCAGCAGGAGGCGCTGTATATGTGGCTATAATGAACATGAACATCTGATATTACTGTGGAACACTCTCTAGCAGGTCTTGGATGCAATTATTTTATTCTGTCAGCAGGTGGAAGTGTAGTGCCACACACAGCATGATCACATGGGAAAGAGACTGACAATGACTGTACTTAATTACCTCCTTTTATATCTGAACACAGATGTTTCCTCATTCATCTTAGACAATGAAAAACCACATTTTTATATATAGTTTGTTCTGAACTCTAACAGTAACTAAGATATGCAGCCACACTTAGCAGTTTCACAACAGAAGCTGAGCTAAAATACTTGCAATTGACTTGCATGACCCTGCTGATCTCCTGCAGGGCAGTCAGTCAAGGAGATATAAGTATGTCTACCACCAGGAGCTAAATACCTCTGCCTCGGAGATTCATCAGCTAGTCTGAGTACAACTCAGTGGATGTCAGTCTAGCTGATGCCCCAGTTCCAGTGTTCGTGAATATCAGTCTATGTGCTTCAGAGAGAGAAAGACAGAGCACAGAGGTCCAGGCAGCAGAGCAGAAAAGTCAGAGTGGAAACTGACTCACCACCCATGCTTTCCTACAGATTGATGTCAGAAGCTGCTTTACGTCCACTGCTGATAACTGCAAGTGAATAAAAATGAGGGTTACAGTCTGTTTCAGATAAAAATTCATAAAACTAACAGGACAATTTATCTTGACTGACTCACAAAGCCTCACACTGGAAAATTTCTTCATTTGACATAATGATCGTGGTGACTTTCATATGTGTCACAATTGTTTCAAAACTGAGTGTTAGGTCACACACATACATACATATATACATAAAATTAAACACCTGAACAATAACTACGTATAGTAGCAGAAGCATAATTCAATAGTGCAAATTTCACTACATAAACAGTAATAAAATGAAATGAAAATGAAGGTATCAAATAACCTGCTTTGCCAATGAAAAACCCCCTAGTGGAGCAGTTGGAGGTGGATGGGCAGAGAGAGGTCAGGGCATCTCTGCTTAGTCTGCTGCCCCTGCGAACTGGCCCTAGATACGTGCCAGAAAATAGATGGATGGATGGATGGATGACTCATTCAGGAGCACACTCAGTAAGGCAGGATATTATGGAATACTTCTGATCTTTCTCAGACCTCAGACCGTCCGTGTCAAATATCCCGGGTGTGTCAGTTACTGTAATCTTCCTGCCATTTTAGTTTCCTTCCTCTGTTTTACAATCTTTTGAAACACTGATAGGATCAGACAAAGCTTTAAACTTCTCTTCCTCCAGGATAACATTTCCTGCACTGCTCTTCCCTGATCCTGTATTCTTATTTTAGCAGGTGTTTTTAAAGAGAGAAATAACTTCAGTTACCATTAATGTTACAGATGCGTCTCTGACTGAAGACCCATGCCAATGTACCAGAAGATGGGTGAATGGATGACTCATTCATTCATTCTATAATGTTAGCATGCCCAGGAGTGGTTGGGCAGCCAGTTAACCTTGGACCCCTTGGACCCCCAGAGGTTTCTTTCTCCCTGTTTGGGAATGTTATCCTCTGACTTCCTTCCTTCCTCCCTCTATGTGTAAACATACTTTGCCAAATAAATCTGATTCTGATCATCTCACGCTGCCTTTGATTCTTTCACAATGTGAACAGTCTCACTCCTGTTTATAACTGATTAAACTCAGTTTTGTTATGCAGCCTCAACTATTCTATATAAAGAGGAGTGACAGCATCTCTGCAGAGTTATTATGCAGCATAGGTGTCTAATGAAAACCTGCATTCATTTCATATTCTGTAGAGTCCATGACACAAATGTAAGAGACTTGACCCATTATAGGACAAAACCTACATCCTTAATCATAATATGACTTCACAGTATGAGGACATGTAAACCACTATATATTAATGGCGCTAATGTTTCAAATATTTTTCTCACGGAATACCATAGTCCTGGTTGCAGGAGGTAAGCAGTCTGAGCAGAGATGCCCAGACCTCCCTCTCTCAGGCCCAGTGCCACGGAGAGATACGATGAGGTATTTCTGCCTCAGTTGTAGTACTGTGCCTATGGGGTTAAATGGTAAATTTTTAATGTTAATTTTAATGTACTCTGTCGAACTGCGGTTCTAAATAGCCTACATATTACTCATGAAGGTTATGGGCTAAACTCATAACTGTCCCGTTCTCTGTTGATACAATGCAATTGTTTTTGTTGTGCTCTGCGTTTGTCTCGCAGTTATCGGGAAATGTAAGTGAAGAGTTGCAGTAGCCACGTGGCGAGTGTATTCCAGTGCCTTTACGATCGCCTCGATCCTGTTTTTCCTCCCCCTTTGATATTTGATAGCATCGACGTGCGAAGGGTTTGCTATATAGTAATAAGCTTTATCGTTTTGTAGCAAATGTTTATTAATCGAAGCTCTGTTTGTTACGCCTATGCAGGCGGGGCCAAGCACCGGCAGGGGATCTCCAGCAGATCACCTTGCTACTTAAGATCTGGCTGACAGCCTATCCTCGCAAAGTATTGTTGCCATTGTTTCCTGTTCTCCCGGTTCGTCTTGCCTGCTCTGTCCCTCCTGCCTGCCTCCCTCATCCCGCCCCGCTGTCCTGCTCACTCTGGTCCTTCCCCCCTCTCGTCTCCACGTCTCGTCCTTTTGTGTAGGACTGATCAACCCGGAACCTGACATCTGCCTGTGACCCGACCACCCGCCGGGATTAACCCCCTGGATTTGTTTGCATCCGATTTATTAAAAGAACCCGTTTGCTCCCGCACTTTGGGGTCTGCCTCCTTCCTCGCCGTGCGTCACATTGTTTATGTAGAATCTTTATTAATTAAAATTTTAAGCACTTTGTATAGTGTAAAGTGATTTGTATTTTCTGTCTTTTTTTATAAATTAATAAATCAGGTTTTAGACACGCTTGGTTTGTTTATTGTGGAAGGCGATTATAGCCAGTGAGGACAGAAGAGTTCTAATACCCCCGTGTGTCACCATTTGCCCTTGCAGCTCCAGATGGCGACTAAAATGGTCACCAATGCGACTACATTTTTATTTAGCCACTAGTTTTTTCATTCCAGTTTTCGTTAACCTCACAGTTCACGAAAAAATAAAATAAAAACTAAAAAGGCAAGAAAAGTTGCAGTTTTAAATTATGTGCACTCTTAATTAAGGATGGGAATCGTTAAGAAATTATTGATGTCGGTGCCGTCATCGATTCTTCTTATCGATCCGGTTCTTTATCGATTCCCTTTTCAATCTCAAATCATTATAAAATAATCAAATATTAATTTGTCACTGATTATAATTTTCTGGACAGGTAAATAGACCTGGTTAGCTACATATTTATTTAAAAAAACACAGAGATGCTTGTCCATCCATCTGCTGTAATGACAGCCTTGGACACATGATTCAGCCATAAAAGTAATTTGCCTTTCTCAACTTCATACCAGGCAGGGATGAGATGATTGGTCAGGTACTCCCTTGATGGGGGTTTATGTCTTGGGTTAAGTGCCTTGGTCATTTTCCTAAAGAATATTAGTGTAAATAATATGCTAGATTTAAGCATAATCAGCATGCATTTTGACAACACTGATGTAATTTTTGCCATCAGAAAAGCATACTGGGCTTTTAAAATCATGCTAAATGTAGCATAACATGAACTAAAGTGGACAATGAGGGAATAATTCTATAAGGCGAAATAAAGGGTATGATTCTATAAGGCTGTAACTAATCAAAACGAGAACTGACTGGCATGCCAGAAAGGCAAGGTTACCTAATCGGAACAGATAGATTAGATTAGATTAGATTAGATTAGATTAGACTTTATTAATCCCACAATGGGGAAATTCTTTGAGAAAACAGCAGCAATAATGAAAAAAAGACAGTACAAAAAAAGGACAGGATCCATAGGATCAGCAAAAAAATAACAATACAGATAATAAAA